CCCCCCCGCCCCGCCACACACAATAAAAGGTGAACTGACAGGGAGTATTTGATTTGGAAAATATTATTATTATGATTGACCATGTTGAGGCACAAGACTGATCTCCTCTTGGTCCTACCATATGAGAAAATCTTTGGGTTGGGTTCCAGAGAAACAACACCTGTCTACCGTGTCCCCTTCTGCATGATCCTTCACTAAGAAGTAGGTAGCTCCTGGCCAAGTGGAAAAGTCCATGACAGTCAGGGCTCTTGTCTAAGAGCCATTGCCAAAGCATTTGTTCCAATCAGATTTCAGTGGTGTGATTTGGGACACAAAACAATACAAACTAAGTGTCTAAGAAGAGGGAGCCAATGCTCTCATCATTAAAACCTTAACTGGATAAAAATGAAATGGATTTGCTAAGAAGGCATAAGATATTCTAATTTGTGTCTGAGAATGTCTAACCCAAATTGTACTCTTTTAAATAACATTAGTCATTTTATACTTAGTTGTTTTAATTGAGAATTTAGAGCATTTTTTCTGATACCTTATCTGACACAATCAATTTCTCTTTAATAATATTCCAGTATTTAGTATGCTTTTGGCTACAAGTAAAAATAGAAAAAATAAACTTCAAATGGCTTAAACAAGAAAGATAATGTATTGGATCCAATAGCAAAAGTCCAAAAGAAGGTCAGCTTCTAATTGGTGAGAGAGGCCATTGTCAGGCCACACTGCAGGAAGAGCCACCAAGGTAGGCAGGAGCAAGTTCCCACCTGCTCCTCTTGCCTTCCAGACCTGCTCCAATGCCCCTGCCTGGAGAGTCTAACTAGTTGGCAAAGCACACATGTACTCACAATTTGTAAAATTGAAATCCATCACCACAGAACTGAGTCCAGAAGGGAGGATTTAGAGCCACTCATGGTGGTACACACCTGTAATCCCAGAATTTGGGAGGCTGAGGCCTGAGGATTGTGAGTTTGAGGCCAACTTGGGGTACATAGTGAGACCCTGTGAAACTCTGTCTTAAAAACAATAAGGAAGGAAGGGAGGGAGGGAGGGAGGGAGGGAGAGGGGAGGAAAGGGAAGGGAAGGGAAGGGAAAGGAGGGAAAGGAAGGTGAGGGAAAGAGAGAGAGGGGGAGGGAGGAAGGAAAGAAGGAAGAAAGGAAAGAAGAGTGGGTTTTGCGTGGGCAAACAATAGCTCATACTCTATAGAAACATGCTAGTTACAAGTTGTTGTCAGACGAGAATGCAACTAAAAAAAGGTAAGAAATGAGTATTACAGGGGTTGTCAAACAGTTAATAAAAACATTCCTGTTATTTTCTTGATTATATGATATGTTTGCCATCCATTACTTTTTAAATATTATCATTTATTTCCTTACTATAAATAAATGTTCACTACCTTAAAAAATTAAAATAAAAAAGATTTCCAACCTTCCCCAATAACACACAGTAATCACAAACTCTCAAAAAGGAAGGTGTTAAGGGAAAAGCACTTCTAAATCTCTGCTCACTTCCCAAGGAAGCCTATTTTCAGTGGGCCTATTCTCCTGGTGCATCATTCTCCAGGGTTTAGCTGAAAGTGCAGAGAGAGAGGAAGGGAGAGAGAGAAAGAGAATCCCTGTTGCCCCTAATTCCTCCATACCTCCTTCTCTCAGACTAAGTTTTTTGCCAGTCTGATGAGTTTTTTTTTTAATCTCTTGGTATTGTTTTCATTCGAATTTCTCTTATCATGAGCAGGTTGATCCATACCTTTAAAAAATTTTCTTGTCTTATCAATGTTCCTGTTCAGAGCTTATCCTTCATGTCATTAATCATGAAATTGCTGGGTGCATAGTGGTCTGTTTGACTAATAAACATGAAAAAAGTAGAACCCTCTGCAGAGCAGATGCTATTTCTCCCTACATAGCATCCCTAAGGAAGATACCAGCTATAGTCCTAATGGATAGTCATTTTTATATTGATAGTCATTTTTTATATTTATCCTAATGGATAGTCATTTTTATACCTTGCTTTATTTCTAAGATATTTCAAAAGAACTGAAATAAAAGAAAATAAGTTAAAAATGCCTATAAGAAAAGCAGGATGAAAACAAGGATGAGGTCGATACACTAAATATCCATGGCCATGGCTATAGGAAACTCACATATTTGACCAATGCAAAGAGAAAAATAGAGTTCAAGACAGCCTGCATCTCAGAAGTGCCTTAATAGAACCTGGCTTTTCCTGGATGATCATAGATCATACAAAATAGTGATACAGAGGGTATGTTAAGAGAAGACAGTCCTTCTTCCTCCACTCTGCATGCTTCAGATGTGAGCAGAGCAGCAAAGGCAGCAATGGGACCCAGTAGAAGGTGGCTCCGTTCATGAGAAGGAGAGATACAAGAACTTCCAGCAAAAACTTAAGGAAAGTGGAGAGAAATAAGTTCAGAAAATGCAGCATTCAGTGAGACAGCAGCCTCCAAATACAACCTAAATCGGGATGGGCTATTCAGGTCAGAGAAAAGGAAGGCACTTAGCACCATTTTATCAAGCTGTAGGAGTTGCTGTAAACTAACATCGCCCTAATTCCACTGAAATTCCTATACTGTCCTGTGGCCTGCTTTCTTCTCTAACCTCACTCAGATTCCTTTTGTCATCTAAGCTTCTTTTTCTGGCCAAGTCTTATTTGGAGTTGAGCTCTGTAGAGAAAAGAGGGATTGCTGTAAGCCTGGATGTTGACAGCACATTGTAAGTAAACATTCAAGTTCCTACAGAGGGGAGCATAATTCCAAGCATGTTTAGGAAAAACTGCCTGCCATCTTCATGTTTATATGAAATGGCAGGACTTTACTTTCCAACATGTTTCATGCATAAAATTGTCACTTTAAATCTAGTGAGCAGCTACCCATACTGTGGTTTAAGCTGTGAGGAGAGATATTTGATTAGAAGGGAATATGAGAGACAGTAAATAATGCTAGAGCATTGGGGTGAAAGTTTATTTTAAAAACTCGATATTGTTTTATTTTCCTTCACACACACAAAGTCACAGCTTAATATCAAAATTAGCTTTCTTTCTTTTGATGCAAATAAACTATCCTTTCTCCAGTCAAATCAAACAAGTGTTTTTAGTTATAGCATAATATTTTATCTTTCCAGGCATCCTATAAGCCATTGTTGAAGCAGGTTGTGGAGGAAATATTTAATCCTGAGAAGCCAGATCCTGTTGATATTGAACACATGTCTTCAGGCCTCACTGATCTCCTTAAAACTGGATTTAGCAGGTTTATGAAAGTAAGTAACCGTGAAGAGGTAATCCTGAGTGTAATAACATTCCCTTTGCTGGCCATGAAAATGCTGGCATCCCGTCACCTTGACCAGTGCCATACAGATAAAGGTTGGTATTTGGGCTCGTCTAAAATCATATAACCTTTGGGTTATAAGCAGCCTGGACTTGCAGGCTGATGCAACTTCTTCTGCCCTGAGCACTGTGATCTTTTCTGGCCAAGATGTACAATCTAAGAAGGAAGACACAAGACTTCCAGGAGAGCACCACGGGAAACTTTTCTTATGGGCCATGGTTTCCACTTAACATGAGTCATTTTGCTGTTCACCAGGCTTATTAACAGTCCTTTGGTCTTGTTTATGAAAAAATAAAACAAAATTTCATAACCAAATAATAACAGAATAGCAGGTGTTATTACACTGTGTATCATTATCTTCAAAGTAGTTAATCAGAGAACAAGACATAAACCAAAGAGTCTTACAAAAAAAGAAACAGATAATAACACTAGGACTTACTATGTAGGATAATAAGCAACCTATGATTAACATCACCCCATAACCCATTAGGAAATGACTTTTCTTGTGGTTCAGCAGACTCCTAGGTGACAAGTGCGAGAATTTCTCTGGCCTATATCTGGGATGGGTCAAAATGACTACACAGCACTTGAAGTGGGAGTGAAAGAGGGAAAAGAACACAATCAGGATCTATTTTTAACCCACTGTAAAGTTTCTAAATTTAAAAGGATCTAAACAAGACTACAGGCTGACCTCCCAGGCTATGCCAGGATTTCAATGGTAATAACTCTTGCAAATAACAGAATGTTTTGCCAGCTTCAAAGAGACTATGAAATCATTAATTAATCTAGATAGGAGATCTGGCCTTTAAGAGTTCAATAAATGCATATTCCAAGAAAACTGCACCACTCCAAAAACCAGAGAGAAGACAGATGCCAGACAATGGCATCTGGAGCCGACATGCTGGACTCTGTTCTCTTCTCGATAACCAGCAACTTCTGTTCCAATGCCTGGCTGGTATATCTTCCTTCTTCTTTATTTTTTCCTAATAAAGCAATGCAGATCAGATTCTTAAAATTATCCAGGACCCCCTGTGTTGACTGCAAGCCTAGAACTCTCCCTGTCCCTTCATGGTGGCTAGTTTGTACAGAAACTTCCAAAATGTACATGGTGTCCAAATTTCTCAACTTAACACTCTCATCCTGGATGCATAAGTTTGGACTTATCCTTGAAGAGAGACAAACTAAATAACAAGTGTAGACTTTCAGGTCCTGGTCAGTGAGGTCCAAGGATGGCCCAATGGCCTGTGTTTCCTATCCCAGACAGGCTGCTGCAATTGCAGTACAGCAGGCCCTTCACAAGAGGGTCTGGCCAAGGGTGCAAATGATAGCTTACCCCTTCTTCCACTCTGAGAGGTACAGTGTAGAGAGGAGACTCTGGCTCAGCTCACTGTACCGTGATGTTCTCTGGACAGAAAGAACTACTTGTTAGCATAAAGGATTCTGTGATTAACTATGTTGAGGAAACGCTGGGTCAAACACATTTAATTACTTCTGTGTAGTCCAACATCACAGCACCTTTAACCTATTAATGGGCTCAGCACTCTTCTAAAGGTAACCATGGACTGTAGTAGGACTTATAGTCATGTTGTACAAGAACTACCCATCTGCATTTTCTGTCATTGTTCCATGATACAGGAGATGTCATGTTTTTTGTTTGTTTGTTTTTGTTTTTTTGAGACGTCATGTTTTAAAGTTACCCTTATAAACTCAGTGGAGTGTTTTCTATGTTTCTTCCTGTGATCAGGAGCTCCACTGTCCTAATCACACCTTGCCTAGGAGTTATTTGGAGTCATCCTGGGCCAGCACTGAGAAACAGTATCTGTCTCCATTCAAAGCCCCATTGTTAGGGCTCCTGCAGAAATGCTCTGCAGCTCGAGACTGAGCTCAGAGGGAGGTGTTCAAAGAGTAGGTTAAGAAGAAGGAATCTCTTCTCCCAACAGCTATCAGTATCCAGTACTCAGCCTTCAGCTGTGAGATCTCTGCTCTCAGTGGCCACACCATCTCATCTGTCCATGGGATGTAGCAAGAATCTCCCTGGGCTAGCCACAAGGCTCACCCCAACACTCCAAGGGGGAGTTGTTTTATTTCTAAATGTGCCTTTGTAGCTGGCTTTTCCTGCCATTCCTTACAGTTAAAGAAAGTTATATATAGCCACATGTTCATGATTTGAATAAAATTAGGATAAACTTAAATAAAAACAGCCAGTAGGGCTTTAAGGAATTAGCTGTAATATTGCAAAGAACCACTCTTTTGAGATGGAGGTGAAGCTATCAGGAGATATTTCCATTCTGCTTTAAGACCCTTGGAGAGATGAGGATGTAAGATGCAGATAGAATCAAATATGGTCATGGCTGTTTATCAGACTCCCTTATCCATTTTCCATTACTTCCCACCATGCACAATTATAAAGATAATCGTGATCAACATGTTCCCTAGGGTCAACCAAACTGCTTCCACCCACTCTTATATGAATCTTCACAACCACCTAGGGAAGTAGGTCCTATATTATCCCTGTTTTACCAGTGAGAAAACCAAGGCCCAGGAAATTATGGCATCAGGATTTGTTCAAGTTGCTCTTACTCCAAAGCCTATGCTCTTAACCACATTTCTTGGCTTCAGGATGCTGCCAGGCATGTTCTTGGAAGTTAAATATTCATATGTTGGTAATTCTGGCTTTCTTCAGGATTACTCTTTAGCACAAATGGTTTTCTTTCCTATATCTGTGCAGCTCATGAATAAAGTCAATGCCTGGGGTCATCTGCTGGTATCTGTCTGTTTTTCTGGGACTTGATCCCAGGGCTCATTAGAATACACTTGTGCATTGCAGCTGAGTTGCCTCAACACATTGCATCTCCATTCTGGATCAACAGCCAACAATTTTCCCTATGTCCTGCTACTTGCTGCCCTGCTCTCTGCCTCTGGAATCTGCTGCCTAACTTCTCATTCAAGACTCACCAGTGCTGAGCCAGAAGGATACAAAGATGTAAAGCCTGATGAAACAGAGTTGTCCACATATGATTCTCCTGTGCCTAGGGTACTGGTGTACAAATGGGAGAATTATAGAAATTCAACTTACGCTGGAAGGGAGCTGAGCTGCTAGTCTGTCCCTGCTCTGTCTCTACTCAGAGATGGCTTCATGGATGCTAATTCAGATCACCCAGAGGCAGTATCTATAGACTGTGCAGAAGACAAGGGTAGACTGAGAACCAATAAGAGATGAGCTGGGAAAGAGCTTGCAGTTTATTCCCACAAGATACATTATATGTGCCCTCCTGGCGAGGAATAGAAAGAGTATAGGACAGGCTTATGTGTGTGCTTCAGGGATCTATAACTTTTGTGTACACCCCTGTGGCCCCACTTATATGTTGTATTGTAATTATACAGATTATTCATCTTTCTCCAGACTAATGCTTTTCTTCAGACTAGTGTTTTTCTAATTGCACAATCTGATCCACTGCACGTTCATGGATCAAGACACCAATTCAATGGTTTTAATCAGAATTATTTTTATTATTCTCTCACTTTCCCTTTATATATTTAAATTATAAAAATAATACATGCTTATTTTATTAAGAAAAATGAGACAAAATGTGTAAAGAAATACTAACTTATCTTGCACCTATCCAGCCTCAAATATCTTCCCCCGAGGGAACGAAAGCTATTAATTCTGTCTACCCAATTGTGTACATAAATATAAGTAGAACTGTATGTTAACAGAATCATACTACACACATTTTTCTAGAATTTTTTCTTCTGACTCAGGAAAAGACCTATATTTAAATCAATATTTTAATATGAACATGGTGACCTTTGTTCTAGTTGGATGGAGATAACTGTTCCACTGTGCTGGTGGGGGACACAGAGGGAAGACTGTCCCTGTGTAGAGACAATCAGACCATTTCCAATTTTTTTGCCACTATGAACAAAAGTTGCATTACTACCTCCATGTATGTATCTTTATGTGGTATTTTAATTTTATAAAATAGTTTCTCAAATCCATTGAATCAATGATTCATCAACTATGTTTAATTTTAATGTTAGTAATGTCTGCTAATTTTCTAAAAATTTGTTATAACTTCCACTCTTGCCAGATTTGAGAGAACCATTTTCCTTTATCCTTAGAAGCTCTAGATTTTTTTCTCCCCTTAAAATCTTAGACATCTAATAGTAAAAATGTTCTTCTTTATTATAGTCAGGATTTTTAATGAAAAGGAGCGGGATACACTAGATCAGAGTTCATCACATCTAGCGAGGTAAAGCAGAACAACCTGGTCACACACATACGATTAAAATATTTCTCTAACCATAGGTCATACTTGAATGGGAAAACAATGGCTGTGAGAGTGGAAGAATGATTTAAATGTTGTTCTTTTCTGCATCCTCAGCCACTTGGTACCTGTATAGGCCTTGCATACAAGAGACACTGACTGAAGGTGGAAGGGTAGTCAAGGGTCGTCATCGTAGACCTGTTACAGTGTTTATTCAGAAAACAGCACAACTCTAGTAGTCCCTCCTATCCACAGGGGATCTATCCCAAGATCCCTGGTGGATGCTGAAACTGCAAATAGCACCAAACACCTTATGTGTTATTTTTCCCTATATACACATATACAAGTTTAATACTTTTTTATCTTATCTAAGCACATATCATATACTTTGGCCATAAATTTTGCAGTTTGCAGTCTGACAGTAAAACTAGCACTCTTTTTTTTTTACAATTTCACAGAAGATTTATTCTTACCATATATTTTAGCAACTTCAATATATGATTTTTTTTCTTAGTCAAGAACTTTCATGTTTTAACTTAAGTGAAACACTTTATAACTTCTTGTTAGCATATCTGAATTACCAGCATAAATACTCTTGCGTTTTGGGGCTATTATTAAATAAAATAAAGGCTCCTTGAACACATGCCCTGCGATACTGCTACAG